GTATATTCACCGCCATGGATCCAGTGGCATCCCACTGGTGCCCTCTTTGGTGATGGGGAAAGGAGTTTGTTAAAATGATTGCTTATATACTGTCCCAGAGCAGGGTGTTTTTCAGTGGGTGTGTGGCAGTCCTGCCCAGGCTGGGGAACCATGGCACTGGCATCACGCAGTGGTCACATGCTATCCTGTCCAGTTCCACGTGTTCACAGGCTGATGAGGTGCTGCCCAGGATTGGGTCTGCAGCAGAGCCCGGTGCACAGAGCTCAGTGGCTGTGGTTGGCCACTGTTACCATAGTGCTTACCAAGTCCTTGGATCTACAGACTTTTGCCATACAACAAGCATTCCTAAAAAGTCCCTTACAGAGACAGAAGATAGGGAATTTGATCCTTTGAAAAGGAAGCTCTTCCTCCCATGGCACTAAATACTCCTCTAAAGTAACTGTGGCTCGTGTAGCCTGCAGAGTACCTCCGTTTACCTAATACAGTCATTACATAAACAAACCTATGTATAGTTTTTCATAGTATAAATAGCTGTCTTCACCTTCCTTTCTCCTGCTGTTGTCATATCTGTCCCAGGTGTGTGCTTGCGGCTGTGCATTGTGTGCAATTGACCAGATTTTCCTATGTCTCTTCTCTCATGCCTCTACTGGCAAAACATTTTGCTTTTTGATTGCCATTTTGGTTGAATAATTTATATTGTATCCCCCTTTTTCTGTTCTCACTTGTCTGCTTCTGTTGCATGCTTTTTGTACCACTCCCTTTAAACAGTACTGACTCTCATCCCTTACCCTTTTCTGCTGCTTACATATCAGATTGCTTCAGCTATCTGCAGCATGGTGCTTTCCTCTTTGATTTTCTTCGACAGACTCTTTCCATGGGTTTCCTGCTCTTCCTTGATAAAGCTGATACACATTGTGCCCCACTGAAACCCTTTTCTCTTGATTTGGGAAATCCTTAAATGCTTTCTGTATGGTACAGTGCTCACTTGTATGCTTTAGATAAAGCTGTGCTCTTGCTTGAACTGGCTTTTGCCCTATGGTTTGACAGTTTTTCCTTAAGGATCTGAATTGTGCTGTACTTTCTCTTCATTGATGTTGGTTATTTTCTCCTCTGGTTTCTCTTTGTCTAGCATATGGTATGTTTCTGCCATATCCTAGTTCTACTACCTTATTGCAGACCTGTCTTTCCC